AAGGACGTTTACACCTTACCGGGAATCGACGATGCCCTTGACTGCCTCCAAGGTTCGGAGTACTTCTCTTCTATTGATTTACGAAGTGGCTACTGAAAAGTCCCTCTGGCACCAGAAGATCAGCCTAAAATGGCATTTGAAACACCTGATGGCCTTTACGAACTCTGTGTCATGCCTTTTGGTCTTTGCAACGCGCCCGGAACGTTAGAATTGATGTTGAACAATCTTTTGCGTGGCCTGAAGTGGAAAACATGCCTGTGCTACTTAGATGACGTAGTTGTATTTTCCCCAGATTTTCCAACGCATCTCCGCAGGCTAGATGAAGTACTGCAATGCCTAACTGATGCCGGCCTTCAGCTTAACCTGATGAAATGCCACTTCGGCGCAAGTTAGCTCCCTATCCTCGGCCATGTTGTTTCTAAAGACGGTATTCTTCCTGACACCGCCAAGCTTCGGGCAGTTGCAGAGTTCCCTAAACCTGCGTCTCTAAAGGATCTCAGCAGCTTTCTTGGCCTATGCTCATATTTCCGCCGCTTTATTCGCAATTTTGTGATGGTCACCACCTCCTTGACTGAACTTCTGCGCAGTGACTCGAGAAGTTACAGTTGGTCACCTGCTTGTGATGGTTCTTTTGAAAAGTTTCGCCGCCTGTTAACCTCGCCGCCAATCTTGTGTCACTTTAACCCGACTGCTCCGACTGAGGTACACACCGATGCCATCGGCGTTGGACTCGGCGCCATGCTCGCGAAGCGCAAATCTGTATTCCAGAAGTAAGTAGTCACATACGCAAGCCGTACCCTCAACAAAGCGCAGAAGAATTATTTTGTGACAGAGAAGAAGTGTCTGGCGATTATATGGGCGTTAGATAAATTTAGACCGTACCTATATGGTCACCCCTTCAATGTAGTCACCGATCGCCATGCGCTTTGCTGGTTATCCACATTGAAAGACCCATCCGGCCATCTAGCTCGCTGGGCTTTGCGGTTGCAAGAGTTCAACATGTGTGTTGTCTACAGGTTTGGCTGACGTCAAACTGATGCCGACGCCCTATCACGTTCACCTAACTCCTCTGAAAGCTCTGCATGTCTATCTGCCACGCACGAAATGGTTGCGTTTCCAGAAAATTGTAACTTGGCGTCTGAGCAACGTAAGGATGACTGGATCAGCACTCTTCTGCGATTCCTTTCAGACCCGTTGATTTCTCCATCTTCTGGGACGTTGCGCCGTCAAGCGGCTCACTTTGAGGTCCGCGATGGCCTCCTTTATCTCAGGAATCACAGGTCCGACAGTCGAAAGTGGTTGCTCGTCCAACCTCGCCATCTTCGTGCTGCAATATGTTCGGCTTTCCACACTGATCCTTAGTGCGCACATGCGGGCGTCTTCAAAACACGCACTCGGCTTTCTTCCCGGTTTTATTGGCGAGCCATGTACACCTTTGTGCGCAATTACATTCAGTATTGCCTGCAGGGCCAACGACGCAAAGCTCTCAATCATCCTACCTCTGGTCCGATACAGCCAATTCCTTGCCCAGCCAGGCCTTTCGACCACGTTGGAATCGATCTTTATGGGCCTCTTTCATTCACGGCTTCCGGAAACCGTTGAATTGTTGTCGCTGTCGACTACTTGACGTGATACGGAGAAACAGCCGCTTTGCCTGCTGCCACAGCACACGGCGTATCATCGTTTCTCCCGTGGAACTTCCTTTTCCGTCACGGCGCACCACGTGAACTTCTCAGCGACAGAGGACGTGTATTCCTCTCTGAAGTCATCAACGCACACCTTGCCGAATACCGTATCATTCACCGGACTACCACCGCCTACCATCCGCAGACGAATGGATTGACGGAAAGATTCAACCGTACCCTAGGGGAAATGCTATCTAAGTATGTTGCCTCAGACCACTCCGATTGGGAACTCATTCTGTCTTTTGTGACGTACGCATATAACACCGCTTCACAGGTGACTACGGGCTTTTCGCCATTTTTCTTGTTATATGGCCGAGACCCTTCCTCCACACTAGATTCTATTCTACCCTACCACCCCGATTCCTCCGAGCCTACGGACTCGGAGGAAAACTTCATCTGTTAACTACATCGTCGAACCCGCTACGCCATCCACAGACCAGCGCTTTTGGGGTCGTGAAACTGTTCACGTACAGCGGTTGAAACATTATTACGATCCGCTCGTGCTTTGTTCTCCGTGAGTCGCCAAGACGGCTCCTTTTCTAACAGGGGACGAAATTCAGTGAAGAGGAATGCCCACTATTGCAGCGACATCGACACGTTGGCGCGAGGCGCGAGCAAAGGCAGCCTGGTTGCTGCTGTGACACTGCCCGTATACTCGGCCTGCTCTTGCTGCTTCTGTACCAAGGCTGCTACTGCTTTTGACCTTGCATTTACAATATATCAGTACTTCCACTAAATGTACGCCTCCCCTCATCGACAGCCATCGGTCACGATCGCCGCCACTTCACTGGCTCCTACGCGAGAACACAGACTTGTCAATTCGTATGCTTACTGAACCAATATGTTAGCATAATGTTTCTGGTGCACTGCATTCATTTTGGCCAAGCTGTGATATAGTTGTTCCTAACGACAGAGAAACAGCGGTGCGCTGGCACGGCTGTGCTGTGCGTCGGGCGAAAAACATCACAATCAGTTGTGAGGGCGTATTTATCGAAAGAGCATAGAAGCGCCATAAAGCCTGAAGAGATAACATTCTTTAAACGAGCGAGAAACGAATAACAAATTTGGCAGTAACCGCCGATAAACTCTATCTGTTGCCCAGTCTACTGAGTTGTTACTTTTTTCGCGGTTCTAAATTGTAACAAAATCATAGCACTGTAGCCATTATCGCAGTGGCAATCGTTACAGACAGCAGTTGGTCGTGCTTATCAGGTGTGTAAATGTTAGTAGCATGTGCAGATCCCGTCCATCTCGAGTAAGCGACAAACAAAACAGAACTTAAACAGTAAGTTTATCAGTTGACTACTTCTTTAACACCGAAGTTTCCATCTGTCAGCGTGGCGCAGTGGTAGTATGCTCAGTTAGGAATTCATAGGTGGCAGGTTTGATTCCGCGCTGTCGCACCTTTTTTACGGGTGCTTTCGACATCCTTTTTTATACAAATATCTTTATTATTTTTTTCGTGGCAGCTCGTCTCGGTGGTTCTGCCGCTGCTTCGCACTCCAGCACTGCCGGCTGGAGCGCGCCGTTCACCATCCGCTCTACTATACACCACCATACACCATGTACCACCAACATTTCCACCACCATAATCCACCAAATCGGTGGATGGTGGAATTCACCATTTCTATGTTGGACGTTTTTAACATAGGGTGAACTGAAAAATAAATGATCTTTACTTAGAAATAGTTTGACTTAGAAGTATTTACAAGTAGTAACTTAAAAATATATAGAAATAGTTATGAAAATTGTGTTGTCGTAGTCTTATTTATAGAATGCTTGTGTGCCGGATATTTGCATCAAGCAGTTTTTTTTTTTAATTTTAATTAGTTAAGACTTGATGGAACAGCCTAGGTTACAATTTCTTGCAAAACATGAGAAGGAATGCGTGGAGAAAACCAGACACTAACTAGACTTGTGCAGTCATACGCCCTACATGCGGGGAGGGTAATGGGCAACGCAAAAAAAAAATTGGCAGAAATGGATGGTTTAGTGGCATTGTTTAGTGTTTTTACACTAGGTCGTCTAGTGGTCAGTAGCCTCGAAGTATACTACATTGCGAGGATCATACAGGGCTGCTATAAGCTGCTGGGCGAGGTTATCGGGGGTTATTGTAAGGTCTACCAGTTAAGGAATACCAGTAGCAAAAAGCTTCTAATAATAACAGCGAAATATTGGCAAGCCAGTGGTAGCCAATATTCGTCGTAAAGCGAATGTCGGAGTAATAAAGGCATTTCATTGTCAACAACGTGGCCCGAGGATAGCCCTATGCTGGTTGTACGCCGGCAACTAAGTCGGCAAAAAAACGGGCCTTCATAGGCAGGAGTGCAGTGGGCCAGCGTTGTATGAATATTGGCAAATAAAAAGGCATAAGGTCGGGCCTTGGTTGGCTTGAACATCGGTTCTGACATCGGAAGAAGTTGCACTTGACCGAAAATCGAACCTTGGGCCAATATCGCAGCCGGCATTAGCCGCCATGGGTCCAAGGATGGTCCAACACTGGCGTGGTGCCTCGGAGCCGTCGATCCTTTGAAAGTAGAGCCTTTGAAAGTGTTACGTCTCAAAGCAAGACCAATCTAAGGGCTTCGAAAAAAACTATTAGAGCAGCGAAGTGAACCAGCTGGCGACTTCTTTGGAGATGATCGTCGAACAGGGCGCGTCGGGAGTCCGGAGAGCAATCCCCGCAGAGACCCAAAATGTGATTAGCCGCTGATCTCCGAAAGCCTCGGTTCGAACGCGGGGGCGAAGCTTGGCTGCCTGTGGCTCATGGTTGTTTTTTCAGGCTTGCAGCTCACGGCAGCGATAATTCCGGAGAATTTGATGTGGGAACAAAAGAAAAAAAAGCGGTGTCTAATGTGCCAAGAAAAGGTGGAAGACAAACAAGAAGCCAACTTTGAAGAGAGCTAGCGCCCTTGCCGGAGGTCAGTTCTCGGGGACGAGACCTATTGTATTGCTTCAATAGGTTTCATGTTAGAAGGCGTCATTTTTCAGACAATAAAGTAAATTTAATAATAAATTCAGACGGCAAAGCTAAACAGCATGCACAAGCTATTATACAGTTACGTATGAGACCTGGCCTAATACGGGCCTGAATCAGGCCGTAAGCCGATCCAAGCTCAAAGCTCATGGGCCCAAGCTGGCCCGGGCCTGATCCAACAACCCCTAACTTCTTAGCTCAAACACGTTCCATGAACATTCGTACGTGTACATTGCGACACACTCCCTTCGCAGCATAAAAATATTTAACAAATATACCGTGATGTAATATATTTAAACATGCATATAATCGGATAAATAAAGGTATTTTATTTATGACAGAACCTTACTTTTCATTTTTCTAAATTATCTGAAACAATCAGAATGATGTGTGCCATAAAAGTGAATGCAAACTTTTGTGATCGTCTGACAGGGTTGAGTCTTCAGTGGTTCTGCTTAGATGACGCCATCGCACGTGCAGTATCCAGGGCCATTTTGTGGTTCGACTGCCAGACCGCGCCTGCGGGAGAAAAATATAGAAACCGATGGTTTCAGTACAGCCTTTTCGAATATAGCGCTTTGGCTTTGTAGGACCGTTTCCGTCTTAAACGTAAGAGCACGTCAAGTAAGACTGCTATGTTCATTTCCCATTTATTAACTTCTTTTGATTTTCTATCATCTTGACCAGACGGGCGTCTGGCAAACTATAAACGTCATAACCTAAAGATGAAACCACCAGTGTGATTGTTCTGACCACTACGGGAATGATGCGAAGTAAACGCTTCGGAATGAATCTTTGCCAACAGTTTCAGTTTCATGGTTGGCTCAGCGTGAGTAGCGGGATGAAGTTAAGCAATGCCACTTTGGTCAAAATAGATTGATGACCGCCATAGCTCTCGCAGTTCATTCTGACGTCGCAGGTTTATAGGTTGTATCTGACGAAAATTGGCAAGCTTCGTGGACTCACTGCTGTGGATAGATTTATTGTAGACAAAGAGCGCAAATATGGGATCAACACAGAAAAAAACAATGTAGACAGAAAGGGCGCAAAGTATCGTATGGTTTATTCAATCTTAAAACAGCCTAATATGGGCTATTTTTTCCAAGATCACGAGGTAACGAAATAACAAGAGAAAGTTAGCCAGTTTTCGTGCACTTTATATCACACAAACCTGTGCAGGATATTGCCCTGTGTTCTATATACGTCCATCAAAATGTCGCTTACGCAAAGATCATCATTGTTTTAGTGAAAATCGCTTCCAAGGGATCCTGCCCTACTCTGGTGGTGCATTTTCCTAAAATCTTTATCTTTCTAACCAAAATCTCACATCCCGAGCACACAATGCTATGAGTGGGTATGTGGGTCCCGTCTCTTTTTTTAACAAAAAAGCATGCTATTTAGCGTACTAACTCACGCATCGGCCCGTTTTTCTCACATAAGACCTTCAACATTTAGATAATATTTCATCGGCCACTTTCGTGGTGCATTTTAGGAAGCTATCTGCGTGCTTCGATGAATGAATGAATCTTTTGCGCCAATCTTAGTGCATAGTCCAGTAAGCGTTCTGGGTGCCGAAAAAAATCACGTCCCCACCATGCCTCTTTGCTACCTTTTATTGTTGTAGCTGACCTTGCGTCTATACAAAAATTGGTTTCTTTTTCGGCTGGCAGTGAACGCTGGCGCAGCGTATTTCTTCATTTTTGATCTTAATAAGAAGACTTTCAGCTACTGATGTGATTTTCACACACGGAAATCCCAAGCAGCTATACGCTTGCTTACCTGATTACCAAAGCTATCATGCATTGCATGTGGACACAATTTTGTCAGTGCAGCAGAGTGGCACGCACTTGCACTTGCCCTTCTTACTATCTTTATTTGCACAGAATCAAAGATTATAAGCTTTTTGCGCTCGCAGAGCATATCTCCTGCAGACATGCATACCACTAATTTGCGGGGTATACCGTCTAATGTTTTGTTACAATTTTAATATGCTAACTTGCAATCAGCGGTCAGCGTGAAAGTCAACCGAAAACAAAACTGATTGTTATGCCGTTTACGGACAGAGTCAGCCATAACATCAAAAAGGCGGCAAGTTGGTTTTTTGAGCATCAAGAAAGCTTGCCCTAGATTGGCTCAATGATTCATTATGATATGGGTGCGGAATGAAGCATGTGGATAGCTTCCTAAAGGGTGCCACGAAAATACACCTCTTAAATGTGGAAGGTTTTATGTGAGAAAAACAGGCCGTTGTGTGAATGAGCGCGCTAAGGAGCAAGTCTTGTCAGTTAGAAATAAAAAAGGGGCGCACCTACTCACTCATTGCGGCATGTGCTTAGGGTGCGAGCCTTTGCTAAGAAAAATAAAAATTTTAGGAAAGAAAAGCACCAAGGTAGGCCAGCAACTCTTGGAACCACTTCATAAGAGAAAATGGCGATCTTTGCGTGACACTTGATGAAACTATATAAGGCAGAGCGCCATTCCTGCGCAGGTATGCTTTATATCAGATTCACATAAACTGGCTAACTTTCTCTCCTTATTTCCTTTCCTCGAGATCTTGTAAAAATTGCGTATATTAGGCTGTTCCAAATTAAAAAAAACAGTTGCTTGTCTGTGCTACTTTTGTCTACTTCGTTTTTTTCCCCTTGTGTTTGTCCGAGACCAGTGCACTTTTCGCACAATAACTCATGCACCAGCTCACCCAACAGGAAGTTCTTCTAAGACACCTGCGCATAGATGTAGCCTCCGATGCCTGTGCTAAATTTACGTAAAGTTCGCATCTCTTTAAATGCGCGTCTTGACAAAACTTGCTCAAGTTGACTGCAAAACAATTGTGAAATAAAGTAGACGCATCTGTAGGCGTCGGAGACAGGCCACTTGAATAAACACAACTGGCATCATAAAACATTCAGCGCAGTAGTAGTATTTTTAGAAATACATGATGCGTACTTTCGATCAAAAAACAGGCGAATTTCTTTTCGAGTACCGTAGAAAGTAATTCATTCTGTTCTGCTGCGAAATCAGGAATACAATGGCAGAGGAAGGAATACTATGGTTGTTATAACTGGTTCTCGTTTCTCGTGCACCTGAAGGTCACGAACTGTTTTTGCCATGAGTTTTTTGTACAAAGTAATAAATCAGATTTATTTGGAAACCAGTTCACAAGTACACTCAACCAGCAAGTTTCGAATCTCCGGAACCTAATTCATCCCACACAGATCTGAAGCCTGTGCTTCTTCACATCACCATGGTTCTAGTTCGCTATGCCATGATAGTAAAAAGGTACAAGTGCCGCTGGAGAGCCCGCACAGACGCCAGAATCCCCTCTATGTGTTGTAGACTGAAACTATGTGAAAGACTAATCTGTCTTCATTTCGCACGTGTTCTTCTGCATGCGCTCTGCGTATCTTGCAGACGCCATTCGCGTTCGCGCGCTCAATCCTGTTGCGTGAGAGGATAAGGCCACAGCTGGCATCATGCCAGAGGACCGAAAACTCATCTCCGCGAGTTAAAAGAGTTTGCCCAGAAATTGTAATTGTGCTTCTTGCTCTACATTCTAAAAACTGCAGAGAGCATTGCAGTTTGTGCTGTATACCTCAACATTCTGCAGCGGTGCTCCTCTAACCTGGGTTCCGCCTCCTCAGCACTCTTTACAGTGGCTGGGCTCCATAGTCGTTCCGCTGCCGCGGATGCTCGTGGCCTGTAAATGAAAACACAAGGTGAACCTTCAATAATTCAAACGAAAGTACGTGAAATAATCAGTGTGATTTATTGAAGAATTCAGGAAGAATAGTTATGGCTGGTCATGTTTTCTCAAAGTTAGGTTTCTTTTGCGTATGGTGGAAAGTATCTTCATTCGTGTGTTATACTGCACCCTACCTAGCGGCGTGGCGTATATTGACGGTTGGGCATACAATCTAGTATATTTAAGCAGACAGAGAAGATATAGACCACATCAGTGTGGGGTCTTCGAAGGATATTGCCACCGACTCCAGTACGAGTCTTTCGAAGGGTCACCAGGATATGCGCACATATACCCACTAGTGTTGAAGGTTGGGTGAGTTGGTGCATCGTACTTGAACTGGTGTAGAGCACTACGAGAAAGAGGCCGAGAAGTAGTAGCATGTGTACGTTTGCATCCCAAAATACACGAAATGATTATGAGGAACGCTGTAGTAGAGGACTGTGGCAGTTTGCACCATCTAGCGTTCTTTACTGTGCAAAATAATCGCATAATACTGCCACATGGTTTGCTTGGGTGAGATCGAAGAGTGAAGGAAGACAAAGACGATCTCTCTGAGCCGCTGCTTTAGTAGTCGACTAAACGAGCCCATTTTTATCACGTTTGTCGAGTGTAACGTGACAAGACTGGTGGAGGTGCTGGGTACAACGTCTCAAAATCCACCCGATGCCCAAGACCCCGTCCAGCAGCCGGAACAAAAGCCCTGCACCCGTGGACACTCCTGTTCATAAAGTAAGCCGCCGCCAACGAGGCCTACCGCCTGAGACACCAACCACTGACGCAGTGACTATGACTTCGACACAAGATCCCATGCAAGCTCCGACACCTTCCACGCCGATCTACTGCACCGTCCAGAACCCGCTCATGCCTAGCCCCTTTCACGGAGAGCAGCGTGAAGATGTTGACCACTGGCTGAGTGAGTTCGAACGTGTCGCAGCGATCAATTACTGGGATGATGCCGCGAAGCTCCGGAACGTGTACACGTGCCTAAGAGACGGTGCCAAGACGTGGTTTTTGAACAGGTATGATGTTCTGACATCTTGGCGCGAGTTCCAGCGTCACCTCCTGGAGACCTACAGGAGTCCCGACCGCCGCGAACGGGCGGAGCGTGCACTACAATCACGCATCCAGATGCCCAACGAGACCGTCTCGATGTACGTCGAGGACATGACACGGCTTTTCAAGCGAGCGGATCCTGCTATGGCAGAAGAAAAAAAGTTGCGCCACCTCATGCGTGGTGTGAAGGAACAACTTTTTGCTGGTTTGGTGCGTAGTCCCCCCAAAAGTGTTGCTGAGTTCCTTACTGAAGCGGCAACAATAGAGTGAGTACTGCACCAACGGTCTGCCCAGTTTGACCGTCAAGTGAATGCTGCCTCAACTTCCGAATTTTTCGCCAACCCTGGGAGCAAGAGCCCCGAATGGATTCGCGAGATCATTCGATCTGTCGTCCGGGAAGAAATGGAAAAGATGTACGGGACAAGGCAAATCGATGTTAGTTCTATCACCAGTGTCATCCGCGACGAGGTCCAGCAGGTGCTGCACGCCCATCGTTTTCCGCCCACGTCGGTTGATCCGGAAACGGCTCCTGTGTCTACTGACAGTCGCCGTCGTACGTACGCGGAAACCTTGCGATCTGCCACTCCTCTTTCGGGTCAAGGAGTCCCGATCCAGCCAGTGCCGCACGTCCCGATCCAGACAGTGCCGCACGTCCCGATCCAGACAATGATGCCGTCAGTCGCGATTCAGTCAGCGCACGCTGATTTGGACATCGATAGTCACCGTACACCGACGCGCAAGTCTGATCTCTGGCGTACGCCAGACAGACGACCCCTCTGCTATCATTGCGGTGAGGCTGGTCACATTTACCACGAATGCCCATACCGGCAACTTGGACTGCGCGGATTTTCCGTCAATTCCCCTCGTCCCCGAATTGGTCAAAGGCCAAGGGATATCGAAGAGTATCTCGCGCAACAGCGTGCACCCTTTACACGACGGCAATCGCGGTCACCATCTCCGAGGAGACCCGCAACCACTGGGCCACGTTTCGGGGTGACGGCACGGGAACGCTCCCCGAGCCCTCGTCGGGAAAACTGAAGGCAGCGGCCTTCGGGGGCAAGGTCGCTGGGACTCAAAGTGCGGAAGACCTCCCATCGATGCTTGCGCGCAACGCCGAAGGCATTTTGTCAGAGAATAATCGCAGTGCCGAAAAAACGCCGACATCCGCATCTGAACTTAGTGACCGCGTGTCACTCGATATACCTGTGCTGGTTGACGGTCTTCAGGTCAGTGCATTGGTAGACACTGGTGCAGACTATTCGATCATCAGCGGGAGGCTAGTGAAAGATCTCAGGAAAGTGATCACTCCGAGAATGGAACGCGAATTCGAACAGCTGGAGGACACGTTGTAACACCGCTGGGTCGCTGTACCGCAAGAGTGAAAATTCGTGCGTCAACGTTTGGGCTCAGCTGCCTCGTTCTTCCCGACTGTTCGCGTCAGCTGATTATCGGCATGGACTTCCTTCGGGAATACGGTGCCATCATAAATCTCCGTGAGCGCATCGTGACCTTCTCGACTCAAGGCGCAACAGATCGAGACGCTGATAACTGCCGTAGACTTGCGCTGCGTGTTGCTGACGACAGTGTGACGCTGCCACCTCGAGCAACTGTTCCCATCGAAGTCACTTGTGAAGACTTCCAAGACGGCGACGTGGTGGCTGAAAGCAACTTATCACTTCTGCTGCTCCAAGGTGTATGCGCCGCCCGAAGTGTTGTGCGCGTCCGGGACGGACAGTCAACAATACTAGCTACGAACTTCAATTACGAGCACCGGCATCTTTTCCGTGGAACCACCCTAGCTTATGGAGAACCTGTTGCCGACGTCACGGAGTGCTTCGCGTCTGAGGAAACGCATGAGGATGAGGAATTTCTAGACCACATCGACATTAATTCGACGCTGTCAGACGAGAAAAAGGCTGCACTTGACGACCTTTTAAGGGAGTTTACATCTTGCTTCGCCTCTTCTTCTAAAGTCCGTCAAACACATCTCACGAAGCATCGAATTATTACCGACGATGACGTCCGCCCCATCCGGCAGCAGCCTTATCGCGTTTCTTCCAAAGAACGCGAGGCTATTCAGACACAAGTAAAAGAGATGCTCGATGACGGGATTATTCAACCATCCAGCAGCGCTTGGTCCTCGCCAGTCGTTCTAGTAAAGAAAAAAGACGGAACGCTGCGATTCTGTATTGACTACAGGAACCTTAATAGCGTCACAAAAAAGGACGTCTACCCACTTCCACGGGTCGACGACTCCCTCGACAGGTTACGACGTGCGAAGTATTTTTCGTCCATCGATCTAAAGAGTGGCTATTGGCAAATTGAAGTGGATGAACGAGACCGAGAAAAAGACCGCGTTTGTGGCTCCAGACGGACTTTACGAAATCCGAGTTCTTTCCTTCGGCCTCTGTTCTGCACCAGCCACTTACTTTTCAGAGGATGATGGACACAGTTCTCGCTGGCTTGAAGTAGCAAAGCTGCCTTGTCTACCTCGATGATGTGGTCATCTTTTCCGAGAGCTTTGAAGAACATCTGAAGCGTCTGAGAAAGGTTCTGGAAGCCATTCGCACAGCTGAACTTACGCTGAAACCCCAAAAATGCCATTTCGGCTATGAAGAGCTGAAATTTCTGGGACATGTCATTAGTGCAGATGGAGTGCGACCTGATCCAGACAAAACTGCTGCTGTCGCCGCCTTCCCTGTTCCATCAGATAAAAGAGCAGTACGCCGTTTCCTCGGCTTGTGCGCGTATAATCGCCGATTTATCGCCAACTTCTCTAAGATAGCTGAACCCCTTACGCGACTCACCCGAACTGACGTACCCTTTACTTGGGGCGCAGAACAAAATACAGCGTTCACAGAGTTACGACAGAGAATGCAAACAGCCCCTGTTCTTGCCCATTTTGATGAGGACGCTGCTACAGAAATTTATACAGATGCCAGCAACGTCGGACTTGGCGCTGTCCTTTTACAACGACACGGCGGCGTTGAGCATGTGATAGCTTACGCCAGTCGCACTCTTTCTCGAGCTGAGACCAACTATTCTACGTCGGAAAAAGAATGCCTCGCAGTCGTGTGGGCGACGACCAAATTTCGGCCTTACCTCTACGGTCGTCCCTTCAAAGTGGTGACTGACCACCACTCGCTCTGCTGGCTGGCAAATCTCAGAGATCCATCCGGCCGTCTCGCACGGTGGAGTTTGCGTTTGCAGGAGTTTGATATTACGATTGTGTACAGGGCAGGGCGCAAACACGAAGACGCCGACGCGCTTTCTCGAGCACCTGTGGGGAACGCTGTCAGGGGCTCCGAAGATGGAGATGCCTTTCTCGGAGCAATTAGTGACTACGAATTTATGTCAAAGCAGCGGGCAGACGATGAATTACGCCCAGTCATTGATTCCCTGGAAAGCCGCCACTCTCAGGTCCCTCAACACATTGCTCACGAACTGTCCTCTTTTTGTCTAAGAAGAGGCATTCTTTACAAGAAAAACGCCCGTGGTAGCGACAAAGCCTTCCTACTCGTTGTTCCTACCGACATGCGTGATGAAATCCTCCTTGCGTGCCACCTCAGGACATTTGGGCTATTCGCGAACTCTCGCCCGAGTACGCCAACAGTATTACTGGCCGCGACTATCAACTAGTGTACATCGATATGTGAAAGGCTGCCGTGAGTGCCAGCGCCGCAAGACTCCGCCTGTCAGACCCGCGGGCCTGCTCCAGCCGATCGCACCACCACGGACACCGTTTGACCTCGTGGGAATAAACCTTCTCGGGCCCTTCCCTTTGTCGTCCTCTGGAAACAAATGGATTATAGTTGCGACAGATTATCTTACGCGTTATGCTGAAACAAAAGCGTTACCCCGTGGCACGGCCTCTGAAGTCGCGCAGTTCTTCGTGCACCAAA